AATCCACAATATCGCTTTACTAAAAAAAAACGAATCCTTCCTCAACCCCTTGATTTTAAAGCCGTTGATTTTATCAATAAATAAATAAATAGCCTACTCGTAGTAGCGACCGATGTTCACATATACTTAATAATATTTAGAGAATATAAGAAATATTTGATAACGTAGAATCTAGATGTAGTAAGTTGCAGTCTGTAGGGAATGTGCTTGCTTGCTTGCTTGCTTGCTTGCTTGCTTGCTTGCTTGCTTGCTTGCTTCATTTCATGACAACTCGTAGATAGAGCTAGAAAAGAAAATCTTTCCTTCCAAGTTCCAAGAGGAGCGAGCAATAAATAACGAACAGTCTGGATTAGAAATAAAAATGGAAATGGAGGGCGCCTAGGCACCTGATTATTTCATCTAGGGTGTGGAAAACTCGGAATACTGTACGAGACAAGTACGGGAATCCAGGGCTCTAGATGCTGTAAGTCTGTATGTAACACGCACGACTCAGTGCCTAGCTAGCCTAGACTGATTTTACTACTCGTAGAATGAACTACTGTACACTCAGCTCAGCGAGCACTGCAGCCAAGCCAGCAGCGTAATGTGATTGAATGAATGAATAAATGACGACTCACGAGGCCCTTTACTGAAGTACTTTAACCTTGCATTGCACATTTTTGCTTGTTGGCTGGGGCTTTTGTGTGGGTGGTTGTGTGGGTGGTGGGGTGGGAGAAATAAAAAAAGTATGGGGGATCTTCGGGTAGTGTAGCACTTGAGTATACTAGCTAGCATTGTACTGTAATTTGTACGGATATTTTGATGCGGTAGTTGTTATCGTGTGTGTGTGTGTTAGATAGATGGTCTAGACAATTGAAATCCAATCCTTTTAGCCTTCTTTCTGTTCGTTTTTTTTCTTGTGGGAAGTACAGTAAAGGATAGGGAGGGTAGCACGCGAAGTCAAGTCAAGTCACAGTATAAATCGAATTAGTTGGGTAGGTAGTTAAGTTGGTTGGTGAGGAAATGCAAATAATGTAAGATTACTATAATGCAGTGTGCCGCTGAAGAAATGAATCGAAGATGCCAGCGATACGATGGACTAAACTTATCTCTTTTGAGGTTTAATGTACTGTATAACAATAGGAAGATATCTAATAAGATACTTATTATCACCCGAACTCCCCCATTGTACAATGTACATTGTACCCCATCCCTCCTCCGTGTAGCTCCCTCCTCCGTGTAGCCGTCCACCCCAAAACCTATTTCCCATCCCTTTCACAAATCACAAACCACCCATATACATTCATAACCCACGCTCCCTCCCGTTCCACGCTCCACGCTTTGTTCATCACACATACACATGTCAAATGACTGGCAATCAGACATCCCATTTTCTCCACGAGGGATTGTGTACCTGAAACCTTGAAACATCAGATGGTTAAAATAGACAAATCAAACATGATATGTCCCTGCCGATATGAATTGTTGGTCCACTTGAGCTACTACCCATATTTCTTTCTGTACAATGTAAGTCTTATATGCGCGGGCTGCGCTACGCCTCTTTGACGAATGACTGGGGCGTTTAAAAGACGGGATTTATGATTTATTTGTAGGATTTGGATTTGGATTTGGATAAGGAAGGTAGATGTCTGGTCTGGTCGATTAGAGTTGCGATTAAATGGTGGTGAAGCGATTAAATACTGCTTATTGTAGTATATAAATGGATTAGATGATATACTCCGTAGAGAGGAAGTTGGCTTAATGATTGAAACTTGCTGAGTGAGTATTACAGAGTTACTGTAGGTATTCATCAGTTCAGCTAGCGCTCAGGTAAATGATATCGGGATATTTTCCTGATGAAGGAGTTGATTGTTGATCATAAGGAGAACTCCAGCTCTTAGCCTCTTGCAAACTTTGACCAATAGTCTAATACATAGAATTGATCTAATTGGATTATTGAAGAGATGTTTAGTTCCGGTGGTTCTTTTTCCTTAATTGTTATTCAATCCAATCAATATATGGACACTCTTTCCGATAAGGGGAAGATGCTCTTGATATTATTATGCTATGCTACAGTTGGTTTAAATCATCTGCACGTAAAAAAAACTAACTTCCCAAAGTTCCCTTCCCTTAGCGGCCCATACTTATGCATGTTGGTTAGAATCCTTGGTGAAATGAACAAACACACTTAATTCGTCTTCTCCGATTGCTTGTTTCTGGCTTCGGCCAAAAAAGACCAAAAGGAAGGAAGAATTGGCATCTTTTTTGACGCAATTGCCTTTTTACCCTTTACAACTAACTACAACTCCATTGACCCTAGCCAAAGTAGGCTTTTCGCTTTCGAACTCCTTTCCTTTCCTTTCCTTCCCTTCCTCTAAACTCTTCTTTTGCTCAACATCTCACAAATGCCAATTCATTATTACAATCATCGCAGGATCGATTAGATATCATATCATTGAAAATAGTGTTGAAGTATTCATTCCTTCAAAGTTTGCTTGATTGCTTGCTTGGATACAGGTTATTCGACACATTCATCATTCATCATTTATCCACAGTATCGACAAACAAAAAAAAGAAATTCACAATCCCTCCCTTTCGAGCAACCTCGAAACATTTTACACGCTCAAGACTATCGAAATAACTCCTCAACACACACTCATTCTTGAACGCGCGCGAAAAGACGTGTCGACCAAAGATTCACTACTTCGCTGTTATTACACATCATTCCAACAGATCAAGAATCGTTACAAATATTCACTCCCATACGAATCGAAAGTAAAATTCAAGGAGTCACTTTATTATATCGGCCCGCCTCGATCTCAAATTCCCGTCACAGAGTCATTCCTTCAGAACTTTGGTCATTCCTACAACAAATAAGATAGTCGCGCGACACGCACTTTCATAGCTTCTATTCCTGCAGAGCTTCATATAACATTTCTCGTCCAACCGGAAATCACCATACGTTCACCTGCAGGACACATCTGATCAACTACCAATCTTGTTCTATCAATCTCCTACGCACTACTAAAGATTACCCGTCGGGAGATTAAATCCGGACTTATCTTACCGGGGCTAACAAACACCCCCTTCCCCCACGATTTCACCTGCAAGAAATAGTTATTCTTATCCGGAGAACAGATTCCATATCAGCAAATATGTCTCTTGCTCGCGCGTTTACAACCAGGAAGGCAAGGAAGCAGCTCGATGTCGCCGCTCCTTCACCAACTTCGCAACGAGCCTTAACCCCAAAGTTTCCTTATGGTACTATCAACCGCGCCCAGATTTCAGGCCCGACTGAGCTTCTTTCTACCACCAATATGTTGTCCTACAATGCTCCGGATCTCTTTCCAAAAGATGCCAGTAAACGAATTGCATCTAGCAGCACTGCATCAACCCATTCCGGAGAAGAGTCAGATACCTCGCGGATGACGAACTCGACTAACTTGACTTCGGCCGACACATTGTCAATCGAATCTCGGTCACCAATAACTCCAGCAACGGACCCTCTTTCAGCATTCAACTTTGGCAAGAAATCCATTGAGATCGCATCTGTCGGTGAAGCACCTGGCATACCACAGAGAGCTCCTTCGCACACTAAGAAGAACCACGAAATCATATCGCGCAAAAACTCAGTCGTAAGAATGGCATCACCAAAGAGCGCTTCGACTGTTAGATCGACAGTGCATATGTTCTCGGCAAATATCGAGGAAGCAGCAGCTGCTGAACCACATCCTTTTGGCAATGAACTCGCTCAAGTCACTGAGATTGCTGAGGAATACGGCATCACCCAGGAAACCTTAGCGGTTGTCGACGAGGAAGAACAAGAGTTGATATCGAGAGGATTATTCAAATTTAGAGCCGAAGACTACATGAGCGAAATACAAGGATTATTCATGAGTGCTTTCGGTGAAGTCAAACCTACTATAGGACCGGTATGGATTTAGGATATGAGACAGGCTTCTCATTATTCTACAGCTTGACGCTACCCTTCAAAACTTCGATGTACATACTTTATTACCATTCGTCACTTGACGAATTTTCTTTACGCTCCTTTCACGATTATTACATATAATCTCTTCATTACGTCTCTTTCAACTGTCATGGAAAACCGGTGGAGGAGTTATTACGGCCTGGATTATGGGGGTAGGAGGGAACGATGTTCGATCCGGCGGTCGATATCCATGGATTGGCTATACTATATCCCGGAGTTTTTCTTTTAGGGGGGACTCCCATACACACACACTCTTGGGCCTATTTCATTGATTGTTATTTACCCATCACATACTCTCTTTAAGACATGCATGGATCTCAGTGCTTTGGTTGGGATAAGGGGTATTTGGATGGAATAGTACTATGTATTTGGTTTGGAAGAACCTCATGCAGGAATAGAAAGTGAAGAAGGAAGGAATTAGGCTAGATAGAACCCTAATTGCTATTTACTTGAGTAAAGGTCAGACATTACATACATACAGACAGGCAGGCAGGCAGACCGCAATGTTTACCAAGGTTTCCAAAGTTTCCATACACACTTCTTGACTATCTACTTGCGTTGCTATTTCTGTTTCTGTATAACCTAGTGAATTTTGCAAAAGTATACTAGGTAGGTAGGAAATACCTCGGCTATAGCCTATCTAAGACTAAGAGTATCATGTTTCATACAATACAATACAGAAGCCAAAACATTGTATTGTACTCAGTAATGATGATCAGCAAAATCATAAAATCAGTTGTATATTGTTTTATTTACGAGTATTCTATCTCATACACGGACGGAGTTGATGTGATATTTTTGGAATATCCGTAAATTTCGCGAAAACAAAGGTCCTGAAATTTACTGGGGGGGCGGCAGGGCGGTGGATTGGATAGAGTTCGGGGGGAGTTATCGATGGGTTGATGATGGTTTATAGCTTGATAGCTAGGCTGAACTTTGTATGATGGCTGGGTGATGGTAAGATGAGATGGGATGGGATAAGATGGGAAGGGGAGGGAAGGGGAAATGTTCTAAAAAATTGTTTTGTGTATTAAACATGCAAACATGAAGCTTGAGATGGGATG